ATTTCAGGTGGGGATGAACATAGTTGGAAAAAGTAGCGCTCACCACTATGCAGTAAACATTATCCACAATAGTAAAAACAGTAATCAATAATCAACAATAAGTCAGGTATGGTCGTAGCACGTATATGAAACAATCATCTATCCCAATCTCCCATCAATAATATCAATAATAGACTCGTGTGCACACCTATAGCAATAAACTACTGCCGAACTATACACCGAACGCCTTATCTAAGGCCTTACTACGAGTGTCCGGCCAGTAGGAGTATCCCGCCGGCCAAGGCCTCACCTTGGTCTTACCAACGGGGTTGTCCAGCACAGGGACCTTTAACCCAGGTCTTACGGCTCAATATGTGTCCAGCACAGGGACCTTTAACCCAGGACTTACGGCTCAAAATGTGTCCAGCACAGGGACCTTTAACCCAGGACTTACGGCTCAAAATGTGTCCAGCACAGGGACCTTTAACCCAGGACTTACGGCTCAAAATGTGTCCAGCACAGAGACCTTTAACCCAGGACTTACGGCTCAAAATGTAGACTACCCTACGGGTACGTTATATAGCTACGGGGATAACCGTTCGACGGCCGGCACAGCTCACATCGAAGGCTACATGTTCCACATGCATACTTGATCATACCAAATTTGAAACAGTAATAACATTTACAGCATAGACAAATTTTCAAATAAAACCCACCTGGTACTGCAGAGAACAATGGTGAATGCACGAGCAAACAATGGCGAGGGTTCGGCTCCTCTTAATCTACAAATTAGTGTTTAATTATTATTAAGGATTTTGATCGAAAATGTAGATCAACACATTAAAACACGTCGGGTACACATATCAGATAAGAGCACAAAATGCGATCAAGTTAAGCAGATACAAATCAGATATTTCAGTCAAAATAAGCAAATAAAGTTACATAATTTTTCTCTCTTTATCACAACTCCTTAAAGAAAATACACTATTTCAGCATATATATCACATAAACAAATTCAATATAAAATAGGCCCTATGAACCAATTCAGTAATATGAAACCCTATTGCTTAATCCAACTCTCTAGAATAGAAATTCCCATGGGTGCAAATTATAAAGTTTAGAAACCAATGCATGAAGACCAAATTTGAAATGTGGGGAATATTCATTACTAAAATCTTCATAAACATTACAACTCTAATATAAAATTAATCATGATAAGGTCAACCTTCAAAATTCTTATTAAGTAATTAAAGAGACTAAATAAACTGATTATAACCTCTGAAATTAACTTACACTTGCAGCAATAATCTAATATGGATACGACTTAACAATTCAAACAAAATACCAGCCCACAATCACATAACACTTCTCTTTTCATTATGCTTTTTAATAGTGAACTAAGCATGCTAAGAGAAAACTTCTTCCTGCAACTAGACCTTTAACAAGAAAATTAACTTGTAAGTGCTGAAACTTTAATATACTATATAAAAATAAATAAGTAAATATATAAATACATGTTTCTACACTGAACCTTATGGAGAGAATAAACTCAGCCATTACAGCAAGAATTAACACAATTACGCAACAGTCGAGGAATTGGTTTCAGAAATTCAACAACTCCCAACAACATACGTGCTTAACTCCTTTCTTTTCTCATACTCCAATACCGTACGAGGTCCACTTGAACTGATAACAAAATGTTGTGAACTTGGTTTTCTGGAAATTGTTGTAATATTTTCTATATTTTTTTGTATGATTTTCTGGTTTTAGTTTGAGAAGAAGAGGGGAAAGGAAGAAATTGGGGAGGGAGATGAGAGTAGAACACGTGAGGGGGAGAGAGAATATTGAAGAGAGAAATTGAGGGAGAAAATAATGATATTACTTCTTGTTCTTTTTCCTTTGCTAACATCCACCTATTTATAAAGACCTAATACAAATACTAAGCCATCAACCTATTGACTATAATAAAGGCTAAGCCCAATTCATACTAACACATAACTAAAGCCCAAACCTATCTCATACTATAATAAAACTAATATATAAAATAAGTAGCTAAATTACTAAACTACTAATATAATATAACTTCCTAATAAAAGCCCATAACCTATATATTGGGTACATAACATTAATCCCCTCTCGAAAGAGTCTCGTCCTCGAGACTCATACGTTGAAAATGTAGGTATTGCATCCAATAGCTCCCCTTTCAAAATCTTCAAAGGCCCGAAAGTAAAATCTTCTTGTGGCAGCTCAAAGGTAATCCATGTTAATTGGCAATAATTGGCCCAATTTTTAAGCTTCCTAACTGCAGTAACCCAACCCAAATTCAGATAATGTAGTCCAGCAAAAGTCCTCTTCTTCTTCAAGCTGCCATTTTCCATTCCTAAGTGATTAGGCCCAAAACCAATTATGCTTGAGCCCAGTCCAAAATCCACAAAATGACCCGCAGCCCAATAAAATGACCAAGTCCCATGTGAAGTTGGCCCATAAATCATTAGTATTTTGTCAGCCCAATTCTCAACCCCTTTTCGGTTTCCAGAATCATCCATAACCACAGAAGTTAACCTCGATCGCGACCGTTCAAAATCCGGCGCCGGTGACCTTCGCGTTTTAGCGATCCGGCAAGAGCAATCGACAGGCCGCCATTTTTTTGGAAGCCGGCGAGACCAAGCTTCTAACCGACCGCCGTGTTTCTGGGCTCCTCCGTGGCTGCGGACCTCTTTCATGATTTCAGTTTGAATTCCCGATCCACCACCGCGTTTCCACATCCGGCAAGACCACGCTTCCGAACGCCTGCCGCTATTGTGAATTTGATGGATCTTAGCCTTTTCCCGACAGCCGTTTTGGTTCTTCTCGTAACCGCGAGGCCGGCAGGTTTGACGGCGAATCCCCTTACCTTTTTCGTTTGTCGTTGCTGCAACTCCGACGAGGAAGGACCAGCTCCGCTCCTTCGTGGTTCTTCGTGAGTGAGATCTACAGCTATCGACACGTTTTGGAGACCGGCAACACCAAGCCTCTTCGAGGCCGTCGTCCCTTGCCTTCTCCACACAGCCCTCGCCTCGTGCTCGTCTTCCACGATCTATCACGAACGACGTCCATCTCAACGTTACCGTCTTCTCTTGGCCCTGTTCCTGTACCAGTACACCTTCACCATCTCCAGTAAGGTCGAGCACTTCGTCGGTCTCCCCATTTGTTGATTTTTGGTTATCCACTGCAGCCAGATATAAAACCTCAACAGATTCATCGATTTGTGGTACTGTTTGCATCGGTGAGAATATTTTTGTGTGACTTTCTTGAAAATTTTGAGGGGGTTCTGGGTTGCTGGGGAATTTCATCTCAGGGGTAGTGAAAGCTTCAGAAATAGGATTCGGTTGGGCTATTGTTTTCGGCCGTATATGCTCGGTAACAGCAACACATATTGGCTCTTGTTTTGACTCTCCATAAAAAATTTTCAACGAGGCCTCATACTGGGTGATTTGAGGTTCAATCTCTTTTTTAGAGACTCCGTTTGTGTTTTTGATCAACACGCCCTCACCTTCAATATTTTTCTCACAAATCTCATGAAAAACTGGTTGAGATTCTAGAGGGCTACGAAATTGCAGATCAAAATTGGAAGTGATGTTTGGGGCTAACCGGGAATGAGTGAGGGCTTCAAGTGTAAGTTTCTTTTTGGCTAAGGATGCTGGTTCTGGTGCTGAGAATGGTGGTTTTGTTGTTTTCTGATTTTTGTTTTGAATATTGAAAAGGAGTTGTTGAATGGATTCAGCTACCTGAATGGCTTGATCCAATTTTTGATTTAATCCAAACATCTGCGACTGAAAATTTGATTTGATCCCATGAATGTTTGATTTGAACCCATCGATTTGGCTTTGTATCTTCAAATGGCTGACCTCTCGTTTCTGAATTTCCAGCTGCATCTTGTGTTCTAACATTTTTTGTTGCTTTTCTAGTTGATCGAGAAAGAGCTCGTCTGCCATTGCCGAGGATCGACCGCTCTGAATACCAATTGTTGTGAACTTGGTTTTCTGGAAATTGTTGTAATATTTTCTGTATTTTTTGTATGATTTTCTGGTTTTAGTTTGAGAAGAAGAGGGGAAAGGAAGAAATTGGGGAGGGAGATGAGAGTAGAACACGTGAGGGGGAGAGAGAATATTGAAGAGAGAAATTGAGGGAGAAAATAATGATATTACTTCTTGTTCTTTTTCCTTTGCTAACATCCACCTATTTATAAAGACCTAATACAAATACTAAGTCATCAACCTATTGACTATAATAAAGGCTAAGCCCAATTCATACTAACACATAACTAAAGCCCAAACCTATCTCATACTATAATAAAACTAATATATAAAATAAGTAGCTAAATTACTAAACTACTAATATAATATAACTTCCTAATAAAAGCCCATAACCTATATATTGGGTACATAACACAAAACTATCAAACACTCACAACCCAGCATGAAATAATCACATAAAGGCACAACATATAAATCACATCACAACTCGGCCAAATAAGCACATGTAATCAAAACACATTTCCTCTCCAATTTCCACTAAGATTAAGCATGCCATTTCTCAACTGAAGCAACACATTTCCCAGTTTATATTAACACAAAACACATAAAACCATATAACCTCGGGCAAAACAAAACTACAAGGGTTCAGTCAATATACCTCTCTCGATGATTTTCACAGACCGACAACCGCTCGTACAAAAGATGAACAGAGGACGACTCCTTAACTCCACCAAAGTGCTCGTCGCTGGTATTCGAAAGAAAGAAGCTGACGGGGAGATGGCTGCTCGAAGTCGATGGCAAAACCCGTCCGAATAGGCCGTCTCTGTTTGCTGATAAGGAGCCGATTTGCAGCTGATTCGAGGTCTACGGTTGCTCGATAAAGCCTCGAACGGCTGCCGCTATTCTCACACGGGACCCGAAAGGGCTGCCGCTGCTGTTCGGGCCCTAGACGAAGGTCGACGGGGTGCCGTTGCAAACGGGGAACTGCGAACGGTCACCGGGATGATGTCTCGCCTCAGACTGCTCGGACCTCAGGGGCGTGCACTGCTCGTGAACAGAGGTTGCAGGAAGTTGCAGATCGACGGTGCCGGACACACCGTCGGGAAGAAAGTCTCAGGCTGGCGTGGAGTTGTTGAACGGAATCGCCGACTGAGAAGGATCGACGGTACCTTACGGCTCGATGACCGATGGTTATCGGCATGAACGGACGGGGTCCCTTCGACTTCGACGGAGATGATGGTGTTGCTGTGATGAACCGTCGAAATCTGCTGCTCAGTTTTTCTTCCCGCAGCCACACGCGCAAACGGCGATTGGGATGCGCCGACAGGGTGGGTTCAATCGAACGAAGGGCAGGGATTAAATAGCGATTGGGAAGTCTGGTGTTTGGACAATGGAGCTCTGCGCGATCTGGGGGGAGACGTGCGATTTGGAGAGGGTGACCAAAGGCTGCGATTTGAAGGGGAAGAAAATGGGGTTATCCTCGTTTTAGTGGCGTCTAATAGGTTTAAGGGTTGAAAAATATTTTAACTCTTGGGTCAAGACTTTGTTGAAATTGGGCATGGTTAAAATACAATTAAATTTGGGCCGATTTTATACAATTAATTTGGGCTGGGAACAATAAACCCAATTGGCCTGGATCTTATGAGCTAAAATGGACCGAAATTAGCATTGACTCGGGTCAAAAGAATAGATTCAAAGTTTGGATTGGAATGGTTCGAAAACGAATCAGAACAGATTAATAATCGGTTAACGCGATTAAACCGAAAATTGTCGAACAATTAATCTAATTCAAATAAATCCTAATAGTTCTAACACATAAATAATAACACAATAATCACATAATTATATACACATAATCCACACCATAATATCACTTAGGCATTTATTTCAAATAAATAATATTTATGCCAATAAAGCAATATTCGAAATTTTCAATAATCAACGGCTCGGATTTGAATCACGCGATTAAACTGAAATCGCCGAACGACGAACGTTTTAAAATAGAACGATCGTGTATTTCAACATAGAATTTAAGTCCACATCGCGACCATTAGAATAAATATGACTTCATAAATAATATTCGATAAATAGAATAATCTTAAAAATTCTGTAAATCGAACGGGGCGTTACAGTAATAGAGCCCAAGTCGAATGGAGATCCACACAGAATGTGGAAAATGACCCTCGCTTGAATATTCGTCACAAACTGTTTGTGCGATGTTGGAGTCCAGTTCAAAGAGCCAATTTTCTGTAGTGCATTGGTTTGAGGTGTGAGACTCTTCACAAACCGGCCAAGGGCAAGCCACTGGCTTAGTTGCCCAACTGTCAACGTGGCAGCAACTTCATCTAGGTCACCAGTCAGAGGCGGCAGAAACGAACTTTCACTCAATCCCATAACAGAATTGATCATAGAGGGAAAGAACACAACGATGCTATTTCGAACAAACACTTTATGAAACTTCAGGGACTTGGGATCCGATACAGATGTAGACATGTTAGAGTAAAACTCAACAATTAATTTGGGACAATATTTCCCCACAAATAGTACGGAATTTTCTAGACCAACTGTCTTCAACAGTTCAACAAGCCCAAGTTTTTCAAAGTGTTCACCAACAATAGTTCGTCCAGGACGAAATTTCATTTGAGAGAACACATTGGAATAACGATATTCAAAAATAGGAGAATAAAACTGACGAGAGAAGGCGTTACCCACAATGAGAGGGCTATCAGCACAATCACCTTCGGCGTTGTCACTAGCTTTGTCGTCCACAGCAGGTGACACTTCATTGCATCAGCAACACGATTGTCGGACTTTTCTGGTTCACCACTAAAATTTTCAGTTTCTTTTTCGGCAGAATCAACAGCATCATTGTTGTCAGGTGACGGCTCTCCGTCAGATTTGGAAGTGGGCTCAACAGCCACAGTAGGTTCAACAACAGCGATGTTATTTTTGGATTTCTTCGCCTTTGCGACGACACTTGCTTTGATCTTGTTCCGCTTTTTGGGAGATTTAGCAACGATGGTAAACCTGTCCCACCAACTTCCTTCTCTTCAGCAACTTCGGGTGTTGACACTTTTGTAGTGGAAGATTTCTATGGACTAGATGAAACCCTAGTTTCAGTGGTCGGAAGAGGTTGTTGGTTTTCCACCGCCATGTCGGAACTTGCAGGATTAAGGGGTGTTTCGGTGTTCTGACTTTGACGAGTTGACCTGCGAGAAGGTTTAGGAACATCCTTCTTGGACTTCACTAACTTCTATTTGGTTTTCGGCATGATTTCAAGGAGAGAAACTTCACACAAATAAGGAATATTAGGAAATTTTCAGGGTTAGATACAAAAATCAGAGAGAAAGATATATGCTATGTGTAAGGGAGATATGATGCAATTATAGAGACGCCTTGGGAAGTTAAACGACGGTTCTGCTTTTTAAGTTTGAATTTCAAACTTGTTCGACACACTAGCACTTATAATAAGGAAACCGTTCTCTCCAAAATATCCACTTTCCAAAATTTCGACAACTACCAAATTTATACGATATGTAGCTTCAGACATAACCATGGCAGGATTTTTGTACCAAAAATAAGTTAGCACCATTTTAGGACACAAATCAGTCACTAAGGAGATTTTATGCACAAGCCTACAATAACAAGCACACAATTAACCAAGATACTCCATATCATGCAATGTCGAGAGATGTTATTCGAACATTCTACAAATCTTTCCAGACCATTTTTTATGAGCTCAGCACTAATAAAGTGATGAGAAATCGTAATATGCTAACTCAACCCTTATATCTCCAACTCTTATAAAACACAGAATTAATATAAGTTTATTCACCACTCTCTCTAGCAAAAAACAAAATTTCCATTTACCAATTCAGCCCCAATACTTATGATGAACCTAATTCGACTTCCACACAATTTGACTTACTAACATCAACTATACGTCAATGTCAAGCCCATTATTTGAAGTGTGAATCATCCCGCACAAGGTTTATTTTTACACATGCTGAGAAAGCGATTAAGATGACCAACCTTATTTCACCTGTGAACTTACATCACAAAAGTAATGACTACCTGTAGCTATCGCACCTCAATTATTATTAAGCACGTAACTCGTTTCACAGGTGATTACGAACCACCTCATGTGATAGTTTCCCGATGCTTATTTTCATGAGAACAACTCTTACAAGTAGATTTAATTGATCATCATGCCGAGCTCAACCAAATAGACCAGTTAGAATTCATAAAACATCAAGTAAAGTTTCCACACGATGAATTATTTAAAGGAAGTCCTTGGGATGAACCTACATACTAGGATGTCTAATGCAAAACAATTCTAAGATGAAAAACTACATAAATATATATAGAAATGGGTGCTGATGCATTATGCATAGTTATTATATAGTACACATTCCTAAAGATTTCTTTAGTGACAGAAAACGTTTTGAATCAAGTGCCTTTATGAGAATATCAACAAGCTGGTCATCTGTAGGTACATGATCAAACACAGTAGTTTCGTCCTCTACTAAATTGCGAATAAAGTGATAGCAAATGTTAATATTTTTCGTACGTGAGTGTTGGATGGTATTTTTCGAAATATTTATTGCACTCGTGTTGTCACAGAATAGTTGAGCCGAATGTACCGTCATACCATACTCAGAGAGAATTTGTTTCATCCAGACCAACTGAGAACAACAGCTTCCCTCGACAACGTATTTAGCTTCAGCGGTTGAGAGAGAGAGATGAAATTTTGCTTCTTACAAAACTAAGATACCAAATTTAATCCTATGTAAAAACAGCCGTCGGAGATGCTTTTTCTATCATCAAGATTTCTAGCCCAGTCTGCATCGCAATAACCTGCAAGATGTAGTTTCGTATCAGCAGAGTAAAATAATCCATAGTCTGATGTACCTCTAATATACTTGATGATGTCCTTGATTGTCTTCAGATTCTTTGGGAGCTTACTGGTGTAACGCTTTGTTTATTTTTAAAGAAAATTTTGGACTTTTCCCAAAAATCACAACTAAATATTCGAAATTCATTTTTCGATTTCCAAACATTTTCAGCGTTACTGATTCATTTCAAAACATAGTTCACGGGGATTCATTCCCCAGTTCACACAAGGATTTCACTATCCAATCACAAACATAATCATCACAACATAGGCATGTCAACATAAAAACCAATTCATCATGTTTCATAGCATAGAAAATGTAAACCAGCTCATTGGATTCAAATCAATCCGTCATTCCCAAAACCATAATCCACAATTTTCAAAACATCATAGTTTGAAAATAAAACAAGTTCAACATGTTCAACATAATAAAGCGGAAGCAGATATAATAAATAATGCAGACCAGCCACTCGTCTCGTCGTCGCCATGTCCGCTACCTGCTCAACCTGAAAGGGGGGTTACATGGGAGTGAGCACACCACTTGCTCACTACTATGCACATAAATCAAATATATATGACAGATAGGTATGGTCGCAGCATGAACATGAATCAATCAACATATCACATCTCCTAATCACATCATACTCCTATGTACACATCTTTCATTATCCATGGAAGGGGTTTCATTATCCAACGGTGGGAGTACATGTCGAAGGCCTCAATATTACCAACGACATGCCCTTTCATTAGGTCTTAGGGAGATTGCCTTTCATTAGGCACTATATTACATCGACGGGGACAACTGTGTCGACGGCCGAAACAACACACATCGACAGGCTACATGATTCATATGCATACATTGATCATACTGTCCAGCAAAATATAGATAATTTACTTCATAGATATTTAAATAAACCCACCTGGATGACGACGTAGAAAAAGCACACAAATAGATCCTAGGTCGGTGAGGCTCGACTACTCAAACACCTACATTTAAGCGAGATAATAATCAATAATTTATGTCACTACTCGGAATTGACATGAAAATCACACTTAATCAAAAATCGACGATTAAGGGATTTTATCGGATTTTTTGTGGAGTTGGAACTCTCAAATTTTTGAAAAATAAGACTCAAAGAATGAAAATAAGTCTCGGGACTTACAATAATTTTCCCAAAATTTTTCTCATTTGAAAATAATTTTTAAAAATGAGATTGGTGCGAAAAACGGGCTTCCGGTACACAAAAAGGCCTAAAAGAACAAACTTGGTCGCGCTGGAATTCAACTGCCGCGGAAAATGGGCCTCGTATGCCATAGGGCCGAGACAAGGGTCTGCTACAGGGCTGGACAGTGCGGGCTGGGAGGGGGTTCGTGGGCCGGAGCGCGGGCTGGATGCTGTTGACAGAAACGGGCCGCGTGCGGGCCTAATGCGGGCTGGAAATCACGCGCGCCCTCCTGCTGGGTGGAAATAAATTGGGCCGCTGGGCAACTTCATGGACCGCGAAAAACAAAATAAAAGGGTTGCGGGATTTGTGGCTCTCAAAAAGGAAAATTAAACTCCAGGGCTACAAATTTCTGGGCTGTTGAAGAAAATGAACCAACCCACTACACACTGGAAATT